GGCCTAGACTTCAGGCCAAATCCACCCATCACGTCGTAAACTCCCCACATCAGGTCGGGACCCCTGGCTCGAGGACTGGGGGGCAATTGATGGAGGGTGATTTGACCTGACCTCTTCATAAGAGGACACGTGGACGTGACTCAGCATAAGTGACAACTCAGCGTGACCAGTCTGCCAAGATCCAGCGTAGCAGCTCGATACCAGGTGACACACTGATTATCCCGAGCTAAGATTCTTCCAAGGAAGTGCCCCGAGCTAAGATTCCTCCAAGACAGGAATCTCCCGAGCTCAAGGCACTTCGGGTTGAGCTCGGGAGCCCCCTAAGTTAGAATAAATTTACTCCTACCCAAACCTATGTAGGCCACCTCGGGTAGAAGCGCCTCGATACGACACCTGCAACTCGGCATAGGGTAGCTTGGTACAAGGCAGCTCGCGGAAGAGCAGCTCGGCGTATCACAGGAAGATCTCCTGTCTGACAACCGTACCTGCCAAATCTGGAGACCTGCACCCATGTCTCTCGCCAGGTGGCATCGTGCCTGTCAACCCTGAGAGGTGTCCCCGGCCTGGCAGGGCCGTACTCTGCAACAGTTACCTACGCAGTCCTGGCAGGTAATGGCTGCGGTAGAGAAGCAGAGGCAGTTATGCCTGATTTGATAGGGCACCGCTATATAAGAGCTCCGACCCCCAAAGAGCAAAGGTATTGCAACTTGTGTGATATGCACTCTAGCTCTCTCATTTCTTGCTCTGCAACTCTCTTCCTGCTACTAACTTAAGCATCGGAGTATTCCCGCCAGGCAAGTCCCGAGATCATTCACTTTCTTCTCCTCCTCAGGTATCTCGTCCGTCGCCAGATAAGAGTGCAACCCCTTCCAGATAGAAGTGACCAGGTCGTGCAATCCCAAAAATACCCTAATTGGAAGAATGAATTCCTATCCCAAAGCACTATCAATCTCTTAAGCCAGTGTCCAAATGTTTTTTTGACTCATTGTTATCGAGAAGCTAATATGTGTGCTGACTATCTAGCTAATATAGCTTGTGAGTATCATAATTCTGTTTTTTGGAATAGTCTGTGGAAGTCAGGCAATTACTTTGGGAGAATATTAGCTTAGTGATGTTTATTAGTGGGGCCCTTGTAATGTGTATATTTCTTAATGCTATGATATTATCTTTTGAATAAAAAATATTGATATTATTTGGTATAATTTATACCTTAGTTCCATTTTCTTCCCTTTTTTAGATTAAGGTGGCGTACACTTGTTAGGTGAATATTATATTTGAGAAAAATATATAACCACCATTGCTTATCTTATGCAATTCATCAAACTTAGTTGCAAGTTCTTGCAACAATTAAAAATTGTTTCATGTTCTTAAAATTTAATATACCAACAAACTTTAATTGAGTAGCCTCTATATTAATTAAAGGGACAAACATTATTATTCTTAATTTATCTATATTTTAACCTGATTTATTGTATAGCTATTTAGTTAAACTTCACTAGGAATCTTCAATGAATAATATACTTAATATTGTATAATTGTACAAGCAAAATGAAAATAAGGATTATATCTACCCAATTATTCGTGACTAAAATATGGAGCTAATTAATGATTATACCTATTACTTATGGTTCAAGTATATTATTTTGGGTTCTATCTTCAGTTGTCTACTATTCGTATTGGTAAGATTTAACACTATAGTTTATACTTTGCTATTATTCCTATTTCCTATTGGTAAGATTTAACACTATACTTTGCCTTTTAACTACTATGGTTTGATTTTGTTTTTTTTTTGTTTTTTTAATTTTAGTTGCTACCCCTCTCTAAGTCTTATTAACATATTCTTCCTCTTATTTCTTATAGTTAAGCAAAGCTAATTGGATAATAATTTTTTCTTACTTTGTATGTGATTTAGATCTATGTTCCTCTTTGTGTTCATTAGCAAATATGTCAACACTAGCCTACTTGGGAATGCTCATGAAGGTAAAAACATTCAATTTAGAACAGGTTAAATTTATTGTCTCTTCACCTCTTAAATTTCACGTTAGTTAATTTATTCAAGATAAACTTTTAATTTATTTAGCTTTTCCTTATTTCATAGATTTGGGTTTTGTAAGGTTTGAGACAACGAGAAAGAAGTTGTTATACACCTACTTTTTGGTTTGCATGATTCCATGGTAATGTTGTCAGTGTAGGCTTTTCAATTGAACGATGTGATCTTGTATATTTGTTTCTTATTTTATAGCCTAATTTATTGTGTTTTGATTTTACAATTTCATTGCTTCTCAGAGTAACATAGTTGTCTTAGGTTCAGATAGCATCAAAGCAAATGCTTTAAGGGTTAAAGTCATTAAGTCATCGAAGATGTTACTAAATGAGTGGTTAATTTACTTCTAATCATTAGTAGTAACTATTTTTCAAGGATTTTAGGCAATGCCAAAAAAAAAAAAGATTGATTACTAGTGGCCTCTCCATCAATTCTTTGTCAATTCTTATCATTGATTTGGTACATTATTGTTCCAATCTAATGCATTTACATCTGCCATTATATTCAAGTTATGAAAATCACATCTTAGTTTTTTGGTGAGGACTTTCTTTTCCGCATTATATTTATTATTGTTTGAAGACTTGAACTATATATTTAAACTTTCAATTTTTGTGCCCCAGATATGAGAAGTATAGTCAAACATTACCATCATTGTCATTCTTTCAATGTTGCACTAGCATTTTAATTTGGATTAGAAAGGACATTAAAGCTTGATTTTAGTCTCTGTTTAATTTTTAAATTTTTAGTATTATTTTTTTTTTTGTATTAGAAAAGACATTTCACCTCACATGCATGCAAATTTTCTACAACTTTTTTTATTAAGCTGCGTTTGTTTTAGGTGTAAATTCAATTTTACATCGATGAAAAAGTTCATGCCGGTTCGATGATCGGTGGAAAATAGAACCGAGTGAATTTAAATTTTTACACTGATGATGTTTGGTTGTCACAGTGTAAAGTGAAAGGCTTTCACTCTGTTTCTACTCTGAAACTCTCCCTATCTCGGCAATGCAATGCCGGAGACTAGTGTGTCATTGCCAGATATTTCTCTTCGGAAAATACAAATTCGGGAACAATTCTCTCTCTCTCTCGATATTCCCCGCCCTAGTCTCCTTCACCGCCATCCTCTTTCTTCGTGAGGTCCCACCGTCCTCTGTCTCCAACCAAGATGCAAATACAAACAAGGAGGCTCTATGAGGAACCTCAATCTCAATGTTCTCGCAATTGCACCTTGCTCTGTCGGCCTTATTATTGATCGTGGTCTCTTTGCTGCCTCCACCACCGCCATGTCACTGGAACAACTCTCACTTCGTATGGCTGTCATCTTCTTGGGTGGTGCAAACAACCGAGGAGCATTGCAAAATGCTTCCCGGATGGTGGAAGGTCCAACCATAGCTGCCCTCCTCGTTACACAGTTGATCCTCTCCGACTCTTCTAATCCCAACGATTGCGACATCAAACTTGATACCGCAGCCATCACCAATTTTATATCAACCTGCTCCCATTGTAAAAATGTTTTCTTCATAGAAGAGGTGGTGGAAGATGAAGAGCAGATGGTGAAGATTATTCGATCCATTCACACTAGCTCTGACCTTATATTGGTGGGAAGGCGCCACATCATGGAATCCCAGATCATGGACGGGATTGGAGAATGGTCTGAACACCCGGAGCTAGGTGTGATAGGGGACGACATACTTGCTTCATTCGATATAGATGGCCGATTTTCAGTCTTGGTGTTGCAACACCACACGGTTAATTTAGATCAGCTTGGCTCGACATCGTAGGCTGCTACAGGCAACATTAATTAAAATTAGACCCTGTATATAATTACAAACAAATTACTTAGTTGTTCTAGTATAGAAATCATGGCCGACTTCTTTCAATCGCTTTTGCCGTCATGCTTTTCATCCTTCTAGTTGCACCCTTGGCTATACTGTTGTACTCTGAATTTCAAAACTGGAGACTAAAGTCAAGATCCAGATATCTTGAACATCAGATCAAAGAGCCATTGTTGGTTTATGGAACCACACCGGTGACCGCAGCAGAAGCCACAGGCGAAGATGGGGGAAGTGGAGGTGAGGCCGTCGCCCCCTGTGATCGGAGAAGAACACACAATCCTAAAAGCGATCAAAACCTTGGATTTCTAGATCTTGTGGGTACGGGGTTGGTGGTAATGAACAACATGGAGTAGAAGCTATTTAACCGTTGTAGAGTTTTACACCGAAGATGGAGATTTACATGAATTTTATAGATGGTAACTTTTCACCGATTCTTCATATAAAATTTATCCTAAGTGGAGTTTTATGTTAATTTATGTTGTAAAACAACACCTAAAACAAACATATGGAAATTTGAACCAAGGTATAAAATTTATCCCGATTCTCATTTACATCCAAAACAAACGCAGCCTTAAAAAAATGTTACCTACAAACATGTTATTTCTTTCTTTTTCTTTTTTTTTTTAAAAGATAATGATTCAAAACTTCATACCTCTAGTTTACCAAAATAAAACTCAATGTCTAATCTCCTTATTTATTGCAAACATGTGGTTTTATTGGTCAAGCTTTAACATTGCAAACACGGATTGATTTTATTGGTCAACCTTTAACATTGCAAACACGGGCCATTCTAGTAGTATATCGAATTACACACCGCCAATCTGAAACCGGAACCGAGCAGAAATAGTAGAAACTTTAAAACCGATTAACTCGGGTTAGTCGGTTCGATCGGTCTTAAACAGCGAACGGTGTGATGCCGTGTGAAGACGGATTTTGTGAGGAATTCGAATGGATGGATTGCACTTACACCTACGCTCGTGCACTTATGCTCTCCAAATACTTCTCACACGTCAATGACCACTTGTCGACTTCCCTCTGTGGCTCTGTTATCGACTTAACGGCTTTAATCTTCGACTGTGACTGTACGAATTGAAGTGTTGACTGTTGGGACGTTAACGTAGCGTCGCCGTTAGAAGCCTGTCGATGGGCGCGAGAGAACGGAACTACGCCCCCATCTATTCGGAGCAAGTATATATCCATGCGTCGCGCCTTAAATATCGACTTGCGATCGCCGAGAAATCGATCTTTTAGGCTCTCGCCTTGCTTTTTAAAACCCTAAATTTCCCATCCATTTCGATACTTTTCTTGCGGGGGTTTGAGCAAATCGGGTCTAATTTCAAGTGTTTTTTTCCGGAAAGATTGGGGTTTCGTTGGATGACTCGAGATCCTGCTAGTTATCGATCTAAATCTAGGTTTCAGATGTGTGAAGCATGATTTCCCGGCAAAAACCAGATTTTTCGGAGAAGAAATGTGGATCATCGGCGAGGTGGATAAGGTTAGTTGTTTATGAATGGACTCTATAGTGTTTGTCTTAGTTGATGTGGAGTTAGGTGTAGTATATAGTTGGAATCTTTTTGTTATTTTTTTCCTTGAATAAAAGATTGGGTTTTCCGATGTTTTAGGGTTTTGATAGGAAGGAGTTTGGAAGGTCTGTCTGTGACATGAGTTGCTTGCTTAAGGTCACGAAGAATTTAGGATTTAGGAACTTACAGTTGTGACATTTTTTTTTCTTTTATAATGGGCACGGAATTTTATAGATTTGAGTGTTTTTTTAAGAGGGTTTTGCATGCGAATATTCAAAAGACTCGGTTTTCGTTGGTTTTCAAGATCGGGAAAATTCCATGGAATTCGTTTGTATCTGTATAAATCCTAAAAACATAGCTGGAAATTTCCGATGTTCTTGTTTGGGAACATATTTATCTTTTAATTAGATTATCCTTTTTTGGTTGATCAGGCATAGATAGTCAAAAGTTTTGGTCTTAGAAGCAGCGTAGACCGTAGTTCCCCGACTGGGCTTCAAAAGTTAAGCATAAGGTTCTGTTCTCATGTTCATGTTCAACACTTTTCCAATATTGCATTTTTCTTCTGTAGTCAAGCTTTGAACAATTACTGTTTTATTAGTTAAACACCAGATTTTGATTCAGAGGGCTGGATAAGTTATCAAAGACAGAAAGCAATCGGAGGTGGTTTCTTGGGTATGCTGTAGAACATCCTTCCTTTCATAACTGGAAATTTGAAAGATAGGGCGAAAAGAAATGCAGTCCAATCGAATTTATTATGCTGATCTTGATGATGATGTGGATCAAGGCGAGTTTGATAAAATTCCTGATTCAGTAGTTCTTATAATCCTCAACAAGCTTGCCGACATTCGGTCTCTTGGGCGCTGCACTGCTGTCTGCAAGCGTTTCAACTCCCTCGTGCCCTATGTCCAGGATGTCTACATCAATATTGACGAAGTTGTAACAATCAATGGCGACAGTGACGATAGCTCATATTCTTCTTCCCACAAACCCCGTAATTTCTTCTCCAACCTCCTCAAATACATGTTCTTCAACCTTCTCAAACCCTTATATCATCTACGAAACAGCAACAACACAAACAAAACCCTTCTCCCCCAAGTCTCTCAGTGTACTCTTGATCAAATCCTCAGGAATTTCCATCACATTCACAACCTATGGATCGAACTTCCAACTGCCGATGTTGAAACTGAAGATGGGGTTCTTCTAAAATGGAAAGCAGAGTTTGGAAGCACACTCCAAAATTGTGTTATTTTGGGAGGCACTCAGATAGAAAGGAAACCAGTAACTGATCAGGGATCACTTGAGGACAATGGGAGTATACCAGAATCATTTTACACGAATGGGGGTTTGAAACTGCGAGTTGTGTGGACTATTAGCTCATTAATTGCTGCTTCCACAAGGCACTATTTATTGGAACCAATAATCAAGAATCATGCTACTCTGAAAGCTGTGATTTTTACAGATGCAGCAGGTCAGGGAACTTTGAGCATGGGTATCGAGCAGCTGAAGGAATTTAGGGAGAAACCCTTGGCGGCATCAGCCTCTTCGAGACGGACTCAAGTGCCAGCCTCAAACATGAAATTGAGGTATGCTCCATATTTGGATCTTCCAAAGGGATTGGGCATGCAAGGGGCAACGCTGGTGGCTATCAGGCCAGCAGGGGAAGGCAGTGGGAGTAATAAAAAGGAGGTAGAGGCATTTGTTCATGGGGCGTTTGATGGGCCATTCAAGGCAGCAGTGAAGGCATTGGTGAAGCGGAGAACTTACCTTTTGGAGATGAATGGCTTCTAGACTTACTACAGTTACGTGGTTAAGAGGCTGCTTTGTTTATTCAAGTTACCAATTCAGTTTTTTTAAGTGAAATTTAGTCAAAAACTTCAGTCAACTCTATAACCAACTAAAGATTAGAGGGAAGGCTGTGAATTCAGTTGCTGCGTTTCCAGGGAGATGTGGTTCCTGGGTAATCGTTGTATTTTTTTTTCGTTTCCCGTCTGTTGCTCTCTAGTTTTTGTACGTGTACAGCGATAACTATTTGAGAGGGGTTTACTGTCGCATGTATAAAAACAGCTGTATTGGCGGCTTAGCAATTGGCATATGAAATTGAAAATTTGAAATGGCTTTTTAACATTTTGAAGGGGCCTGGTCTGAGGGCCCTGACAATCCGCATTCTTCAATCGTCTGCATGATTTGCAGTATTATGTCAGGGCGTGCATTGAGGAGATTTGTACTTTTGTAGTCTCTTCTCATTTTTCATCACCGCCACTGCCCACTGCACCTTGTTTGCAGCAGCGGACCCCTCCACCTCCGGCCCTCTCTCGCCGTCTCTTTCTATCCCTCTTCCCCTTCTGCAACTCGTCTCAGATCTGTAAGGAATCCAGATTTGAGAGAGACTCAGATTCACTGTCGTTGGGTCTTGGGTACTTTATTGTCTTTCCGGAGACGGAGAAGGTTGCTCCAATTCCAAGGGAACGTCTCCAATGATCCTTGAGCTCTTGGGATCCCAACGGAAGTATTAACGTCGAGCTTATCTGGCTTTGCGGAACACCAGCCTTGTTGGAGTATTACCGTCGAGCTTATCTGGCTTGAAATCTTTAATATTGCCGTATGGGAATCGGTTTACGGGCAACATCCCACAAGAATTTGCACGGATTACGACTCTGTGGAAGCTTAATTTGTTGAAAGAAAAAATCAAAACCCTCGAGATTCAAACAGTTGCTGGTGTAACCCTCGAGATTCAAACGGTTGCTGGTGTGACAATTGCACATGGATCTCCCCAACATCAATCCTATGCTCTTGCCTAAATCTCTGTTAAAGGCCACCAAATCTCCCAAGAAGGCTTGAATGGCGAAAGCCAGGACGACTTTTTATTCCACTTTTTCCCCTTCCCTTCTCTTACCCTCTGTCTGTATGTACTTTTATTTATTTCACGAGTAGGACTCCCATCTTTGGGATTTCAAACGGGGATTTACTGTACTTTGTGATAGTGTACTTGGATCGATGAATGAAACTTGTTGGTAGTTTCATCCAAAAAAAAAAAAAAGAATCCATCAATTGAATTGTGAACCTTTCCATTTGATCGATGACTGTGAATCAGTATTACTGCACAGAGCGATATGTGCCCTTGCAATTCTGAAGACCTCTTTAATGGTGTTTATTATCTTTGTCCTTTTGGAACAAATTCGACAGTAAAATGCGATGTTCAGCGAGAACCGTGTGAGTGAAAGAAGAAAAAGGAGTCATTGGGGAGATCAAAAAGTATTTATTACCATAAATCTTGCCGCCACCAGAGGTTCCTACGTTCATGGATTCCAGTGTATATTGGGATGACCGGTGAGATGCTTCTTTGAATCAGGATTCGGTGGAGAGGAGTATATTGGAGGGAGTTCGATTGAAATCCTTTGAAAGAAGTGGGTTTAAGTTTTTGTGTTCATTTTCTGTCTCGTTCCGCATCGTCTGTCCCCTAGGGACAGAAAATTTTCTGTCTCAACCAACGAGACTGAACACGTTGCTCTCCCTTCACATATTAAACTCATGTAATCCTCGTCTTTTCTTGTTCCCTCTCTCTTCTCTTCTCCTCCCTCCCACCGCCCCTACACAGTACCGAACCCCCTTGTATTTTCCTCTGATATTTTCCTCACATAACGTTAATGGCAGTTAAACCCATCATCTTAACAAATCTAATATTCCTCTTCATCTGTTCTCTTTGCTTTTCTCTCTTGTATCCTCAACCTCAAATTCAAAAGACGTAGGTCGAACTCTAACCCTATGCCCCCCCCAATTTTACTCATTCTCGTCGTAAATTACAACAGTCACTGGAGATTATCGATCTTTGGTATGACTGGTCCAATGGCTGCAACCCCAACATCATCCAGGACCAGCTGGGCCGACTTCTTTATCACCTCGAGTGGAACAACAACACTTCCTTGTAGTACACCTCAGACTCTTCAAGGTGTACAAGACTCAACATTTCGAAGCGGGGATCCTAAACCCAACTGGCTAGACGGTGCAAACCACCTTGGCTACCAATACGTCGATGGGTTCCTCTGCAATGCTTGGGAGATTGTTGATTTCATTTGGTAGTGATGGTGCACGATCTGGATGCTCCTATCTGGATGACAGCTGTCGAACTACAATAAAGTAAACTAAGAGGACGCAAGGTGACTTACCCAGTGTGGGTGCTCCGATGCTTAAGTTAGTAATGGTATGCGAGTTGAAGGCTTGTAAGTTAGAAGGCTAACGAGCAATAATCGTGCCTACTTTGTGACGTTGGGGTTGAAGCCCTTATATAGGCAAGCTGTCGTAGGTCTTACGAAACTCCTCCAAGATCCCCGACCCACGCTTCTAGGAATCCATTCTGCACTCGGAGGTGGACTTCGTGTGAGCTGATAAGGCTTATCGAGTTCGTCAAATCCGGGAGGGATAAGGATAAGGCTTGCGGGCGTGCGGCGTGATCCCAGAGAAGCCGAGGACAGTTGGCTATCTTCTAGAAGTTGGCTACATCTCACCTCGGTAGCTTGGGCCACCACAAGCTGCTCGGACCTCGATCTTGGCCGAGGTGCCTGAGGTACCCGAGCTGACTTAGCCTACCAAGGTGGCAGGGAATGCTGAATCTCCATCCATGTCATCAAGTTGCATCCACGTGTCTGCGTGCTAGTAGGTCATCACAATTTATCCCTCATCAATTGCCCCCACTCTTATTCCAGGGGTACTTGACCCGATGTGGGAGTTCACGACAAGCTTGGATGGATTTGACCTAGTCTTTGGTTTGGCCGAGGTCCGGTCTGTAGGTTACCTAACTAACCCAACTGTCTCAACCCTAGAGCTAGATCGCGTCTCTGGAATGCACGGATGTCACTTGGATTATAAACTCTGCGGACGTCAAACACCTGCTCAACCAATTTCGACCTCGAAAGTCATGTGATCGCCCTCATGGGAACCGTCAGATCTGGTTGATTTGAGCCGTCTTTGATTAGATATACCGGCTATAATTAGGGGCCTTGGGGTCCTATTTCCTTTGTCCTATTTTGAGCTTTTGTGTTCTAGAGGTCACGCACTAACTCTGGTGTCTCCAAGTCGGTTGTTCATTCTTGAGGTCAGCCTTTTTCCTTTTAGGTAAGTTGTCTTCCCTTGCTCTAGTCTTTCCTTTATCTTCATTTCCTTCATGTCTAGTTGTAGTAGCTCATTTGGCGAAGAGTGTGCGGGGTTTGATCGGGCCGAGGAGGGCACCTCGGCTCAAGGGCTGGAGTCTGGTCCAATTGAGGTGGGGACTTCAGTTCAGGATCAAAGAGCCTCTCATAAGAAGGCTTTGTCTTCACGCCGTGCATGCTAACCTAGAGAACCAGATAGCTTCGACCCTTCCATGATGTTCATCAAGCATATTTGTGATCTGGTTGCTCGGTACAATTCCCTGACCACTACGGTTACTACCTTCCCTTGTGTTAGATATTGTATGCCCTTAGCTCCAATCAGATTGATGTACATGCCCATTTATTGTAAATGAATAAAAGTACATAATTGATTCATGTTATATCGGGTATGTTTTTGTGTAATTACGCTTAAACTGGATACTTATAAGACTTGTGTTGGTTTAGAATGTTCTTAGCCATTAGATAGACTTGGAGAACTTTATTTGGCCATGGCTGACATTGATGTACTGCCAAGAATGTTGGGGTAGCCTGTCTCAGCTGCCAATGTTAGACCCAAAGCACATGCAGTGTGTGTTTGTTCAAAACGTTGAACCCGGACCAATTTCCAGTTATGCCTTGGACCATGGAGACTAGTAGGCAAAACTGAAAAGTTACACCTACCCCTAGACTTGATTATGGTACTGCATTAGGTGTTGGACTAGGCTGTCTTTGATGTACCAATCAGTGAGATCCATCAGGGGTCAAAATTTGGGTATGTTGGGGCAGTCTGAGAATTCACTCAAGTGGGTGATCATAGTGACAGGATCAGCCCCTTTGTTGGACAAAGTGAATGATTGGGACTGCACTCTCTTTGATTGAAACCAAAACTTTCGGTAGTCGATTTCAAAGTTGTTTGTTTGAGATTTGTTTCCTAATCTAATTACGGGAGAGTTTCCTAATCCAAATCTTATATTTGGATCTGGACTCTTAAATGGATAAGACTTATCTTATCCTTTACCTAATCCTAATTAGTTTAACAACTGAATTCACCCCCTTTTAATTAGCTAACTTAAGCCTAGTTCAAATTGGGTCTTAGGCCCATTAAGCTTATGTGCTCATTTACTCTTTAATATACTGCCAACTTGGCTCTCTTTGTATGGTGTGGGACCCTAACATTGATCTATACATCAGTTACATGGGTTCAACCTAGCCTCTGTTATAAGGCCTGGTCAAATTCATTGTATGTCACAGTAAACCCCTGAGTCCATCACCATGAACTATCAATGGGCCCAACATTTACATTAAATGGTTCTTGGATCCAACCACCTTATGAAAACCCAAGAGCTATGGGTAGATGCAAGATTAGCCCATCAAGTATTACCCTCAATGGTCTTATACTTTAACCTCTTAGCCCATAATGATCAAGCACTGTCCGATAAGAGATGACATCTCCCTTAGCTACAAGGTGCAGTGCTGCACTCTCTAACAAGTTTGAAATCAACTGTCGACAGTTTAGGTTTCCATTAGAGAGTGTTTTTCTCGATCATTCACTTTGTCCGATAAATGGGCTGATTCTGTCACTATGATCACCCACTTAGGTGAATTCTTAGACTACCCCAACATACCCAGGTTTTGACCCCATCTAAGGATTTCACTGATTGGCATATCAAAGACAGCCCAATCTGACACCTAGTGTAGTACCATAATCGAGTCAAGGGGCCAGGTGTAACTTTCTAGTTTTTSCCATCTGTCTCCAACGTCTAGGGTAATACTAGAAATTGGTCTGATTCAGGGTTTCAAGAAAACCCACACTGCATGTGCCTCAAGTCTCACCCTGACAATTGAGAAAAGCCACCCTAACCAACTTGGTGGCACATTAGTGTCAGCCTTGGCAGGATATACCTCCCCAGATCTATCCAACGGTTGTGAAGATTCTAAACTAACACGAGTCTCATAAGTGTCCAGTTTATCAATACATAGAAACACACCACAATGACGTGAATCAATTATGCACTTTATTCATTTACAATAAAT